CAAAAGTTTATGTTGTAGCTTACCTTGTTCAGGGTAAGGGGACCCTGTTTCGACGGGAGGTGTTGTCGTAATAAATGTTGTGACGCGCTGCATTAATGGTGATGTGCCATGGCAATAACTTTGCAAATCTTTGTCTGCTGATGTGGCTCGTCCTTCACCCGCCACGTGCCTGAATGCCATTGGTTCTTTATGCCATATTGGATTCCAGCTGTTCTGGACTTCATCGGCTGGGTTATGTATTGAGCTCCGATTGATGGATTTGGGTTGTTATAGTGGTTCATGGCCTTTGTGGGCCTGTCCATGTCAATGGCATTAATTACATCAAAATTTTACTTTTTTTTTTAGAATTAATGATTATGTGCCCAATGTCATTACTACGTGTACTTCTACCTTACCCGACCATTTTATTAAAAAAATCACATTGTTCCTTTCTACTTTATTTTTTAGGGAATGAGATTTTATACTCTGTTAAAAAAATTTCAAGCACAAACAAACAAGTTTGCAAATGGGCACATGACAAAAACTGCATACAAATACAAAATATTGTATTAACATAGAACTTGTTCATTTAAATCTTGTGAACTAACAAATGTGCCATGGATACCATAAGGCACTCTAGAAGGCAACCTCACTGAGGCCGCTTGCTTCATATTTGAAGCCTTCACTATCACCAACTCAGACCTCTCTCTCCTCTCATCTCTCACAAAGCTCATCACACACCCTTCATCTTCCTCTACGGCCATCTTTTCGGGCACGAAACACGGTTCACCGCCAAATCTCTCATCACCATATGAAAACTTGGTCACTTCTCCTGTCACCAAATCAACCTTGGCAATGCCGGAACACCTCGGCCACGGCTCGGCTATTGCCAAGTAGGCGTACCGGGTTTTCCGGCCAAGTCGCCACTTGCTCACTTGTCCGGATTCTAAATTCATGCCGGCAACAACGACCCGTCGGGCCGACCCGCCCGTTTTCAAATTGAGCCGGATCTCGGATAATTCACTTCGGAGCGGTTCGTCACGTTCGTTGAAAATTGAATCGGGCGGGGTCATGCACGACCCGATAACCACGATACCCGGACCGGGATGTCTTGTTCGGGTCGTGGATAACGGGTGACCCACCCCGGATCATCTCAGATAGCTTGAACACAACTTGGTGATCCGGGATGATCACGTGACTTTCCGTAATTGCGAAGTCATGAATCATAGTCGGCTGTTGGAGGGAAATGGGTATGTCACCTGTCTTCCCACACGTGTCGAATTTGAAGTACCTCAGGTACGACTTTTTTATAACGTCGTAACTTACACCGTAAAGTTCAGCTGTGATAGGGTCCACCTTAGGATGAGCAATCATGGACCCTTCAAGCTGGTCGTTGAAATCGAACCGTCCGATCGTTTCGAGATCACCATCATTCGTGATGCCGACGTGATACGGAAGATCATCCTCTGACATGGCTAAAAGTCGACCGTTAAAATAAACTAACCCAGCATTAGCGACGCCAGTGCCTCTAGACGAGTCCACCAAACCAATACTCGAGCGAGCGAAGAACAAAGCCAGCCGAGCCACGCCCAAATGGCCATGCAGCTCGCCAATCGGCTTGGGGAATATCGGCCTACCCAATGCGGTTTCTTGTTCGAGCCGGCTCGTGCGAGTGAAGCGGCAAGAATAGCTGGCTTTGTTCCCATGTCCCAACGTAACGGCGTGAATCATGCCGTCGCCGTCAAACATGTGGTGGCCGTTGGTTGGTTGGAACATCGGGTTGGCTTCGTTTCTTAGATAAACCCCACATAATAGACCCGCCAGAATCTGACCCATCACCTGGAGACCGTGCTGAACGGGGCACTCCTTGACCGGGGCAAAATTCCCCTCCAGCTGAACTGCCGGGTCGACAATCCGGGTCAGCCCATGTTTCTTTTCTAATTCCATGATCACTGAATTTTCAACCATGTCTAGGACCGAGGCTGCTAGTTTCTGAAGTGGGTTCAACTCATGTGGCGGAATGAAAAATGGGTTTTTCTCCGGCGGCAGAGTAATTTTCTGCGGTGGACTCAGTGTCTTCTTTGATGGGTTGATAAGGATTTTGCGTGTGCATGGTTTTGTGGCGGTTGGTGTTGGAAGCTTTATTCTGGGTGTGTGAAGTTTGGGATTAGTTTCAAGTTTAGAGGTTCGTGGGGTGGTGAGGAAATGGTGGGAGTCTTGCATGGTTGGAGTTTGAGAGAGAGAGAGAGAAAAGGGTGAAGGGTGTAGAAGAAAGAGGGGTTACTAATATTTGATGAGAGATGAGATGAGATCAGAGTGCTCTTATTTTATTTAAGAGAAATGAATTATGAAAAAAAAAATTGTGAAAAATAAAAATAATACTACGTATTATGAAAAAAAAAATTTATTATTAAATTATACATATAAGAAAATATTACATATTAATAAAAACATGAAAAAAATTTTATTATATCTTTTTATAATTCCTAATATTATTTTTATTTAATTTATTTTTATGTGGTTACAAAGATGAGAGCTTTGAGCACATTTGTTTGGAGGTATAATAGCATGGGATAAGATTCATAATGCGGTAGAGGAAATAATCTATTATTTGGTTTGAAAATTTTGTATCGGATTATGATCCAAGCCAATAGTTCCGCATATGTGGGATAATTTTATCCCAAGGGAGAGGTGTGGGACAAAAACTCAATATATAAGCTCAGAGTTGAGATTATCCTAAGAGCATATTTGTTTTGAGGGATAAGGGTGTGGGATTGGACTATTAGTCCCACCGGACTAATAGTCCATTGTTTGTTTGAAAAATTTTGTTCCGGACTAATAGTCTCTCCGGACTATTAGTCCCACAAATATGGGACTATCATATCTCATGGGGGAGGTGGGATAGAAACCATGGGATTGGTATCCCATGGGATTATTTTATGAAATGTCCATTTTACCCTCCATGCTATTACTTAGTAAACAATTAGAAAAGGGTAAAATAGTCTTTTGAACATTTATAAATTATTTTTTTAGTGTTGTTAATTTAAAACTATATATTAACTAAAAAATTTAAATTATAAATTATAAATTAAATTTAATTAAAAATAATAAATTATAAATTATGGCCTTATAAATTAAATTTTTTTAGTGTTGTTAAAAAATTAAATTTACATATTAAATAAAATTATTTTTTTAGTGTTGTTAATTTAAAATTATATATTAAATAAAAAATAT